TCCGGCATCCCCTGCAGGGAAAAACACACACGTACTCATCCCTCCAAGAAAAAAGCAAACAAAAAAAAAAAAAAAAGGAACGCAAAGAAATGTGCACATCTTATCATCCAAAAAAAAAAAAAAAAAAACATTTCAAAAAAAAAAAAATTTATCCTCGGCAACGTGAGAGATCTTCTCACAGTTTTAAAAAAAAAGGCAACAGCCCAGTTGTGCTGTCACCTCCGTCATTCATAAATTCACGGCCAATCCTTACGCCCCACCCACTCATACTTCACTGAACCGCGGCAGTCAAACCTTCATCGTCCAGACATCACCACCACAACTAACACCGTCAATTTAAATCAAACCCCCTTTCCCCCATACACAAAAAAAAATTCCATTAGCATCCATTAAATTTTGTTAAGAAGTTCCGACTTCGGCCCACTTTGCAACGTCGCGGAGGCCTCTCGACATTTTGGCCTGGGAGACACCGTCTCAGCATTCGACCTCCTCCTCACATCATGGACGAAAGTCCCAAAGACATCATTCAGCATACGGCGACGCTCGCACGCTCTAGAAAAGCAATTCTTGTCCATGAAGAGTTCGTCGTTCGAAAGCGGGTCGCAGAGCCGCAAATCCAGCGGCACACAGTAAACTGCATGCAGCGTCGCCGCATTGTGAACGTACTTTTTGTTGTCGCAAACAATCCCAAAAAAGGTTCTCTTCCAAATGTCCGTATCGTCGAAGTTAAGTTGAAATGACCTCAGGCCCCCCACGTTGGTTGAATCGGAGTTCACACGCTTCTGTTGGCTGTATTGCGCCCTTACAAAAAAACGGCACAAAAAATACACCAAAACCACAAAGAGAATGACGACCAGGAGCACCGCCGCAACCATAATTATGACACGGGAATGCACCCGCGTTCTCCTCAGCTCCACGTCCACGTAAATGTCCGGGCGCACCACGCTCATCAGAAGAAAAGAGAAGCAAAAAAAAAAAAAAAAAACAACTAAACTAAATAAAAGAAAGAAAAAGGCAGGCAACAGAAATAAATAAATAAAAGAAGAAAAAAAGTCAAACGGCGACAACATCATATAAAGTTGTAGGAAATGGGGTAAAGGCCACAATACCAACAAAAACAACCACAGCTCACTACTAGCAGCACACACAGAGTTCCTATACCGCTATTATAAGCAAAGATACAAGTATACATGCATCTAGATGCTAAGCATTTGCATCCAGAGTAAGGAACACAGAAAAGCACAGCTCACTCAAGAAACATACACTTTTTTTTTTTTTTGTTCTCCCTCGCATGGCTTCTCCAGACATGTATACGCACACGCAAGGCACACGCTCCCAAAGAAGACCCCTTCTCAAAAAAGAGCTCAAGCGGTCCATGCGTTACTCTACCATTCAACAAGGATGATAATAATAATAATAATAATAATAGTAATAATAATAATAAGGAAAAAAAGAACATGATAAGCCTTTTTCCTTTTTTTTTTTTTTTCCTCCCCTTTCTTCCCATCGTTTCGTTTTTTTGTTGGCCGTTGAGTTCCTTCTCATACTCGGCCCCCTGCCTCCTCAAGAAGTTTCGTGATGCGCTTAAGGTTGTGCTTTTTTGCCAGGTAAAGTGGCGTCCTCCCCTCCCTGTCGGCGAGGTTCACATCTACACCCGCTGCAATCAACGCCTTTGTGATTTCGACGTGGTCCAAATCGTCGCCGCCAAGTTCCAACACTTCCAGCAGTCCCGTCCACCCAAAATCGTTCACGTGGTCCACATTGACGCCAGCTTTTATCAACAAATTTACCATCTCCACATGACCGCGCTCACATGCTGGAATAAGCGCCGAGCCACCGTAACGGTTGCACAGCGTCAAGTCTGGTTTGGCATACTTCAGCATGTGCTTCATAATCTCCACGCGACCCTCCGCACCAGCAAGGAGAAACGGTGTGTCATGCAGATCATCATACACGTTGATGTCGGCGCCTGCTTCCAGCAGGACGCGTGCCCCATCCACATAGTTGTCCCAAACACACATATGCAGTGGGGTGCGATTGCGTTCACCACGTATATTGACATCCTTTTTGGCTGCTATAAGACGCCGCAGGAGTGTCAAATCCTTTTTTGCTACAGCCCTAAAAAAGTCCGCCTCAGCCCCCGCTTGTCTCATATCAAGTTCGCTTAAATGTGTGTTTTTGTTTGTGTACAGAAAATATTTGTCTTAACACAAATGTGTACTCTCTCACCTAATGAAGCATGTCTTTTCCGGTAGGCAAGACGTTTACAAAGAACAAAGAAATACAAAAGAAAAAAAAAAAAAAAGACGCAAAACAAAATACGGGCAAATTGCAAAGTGCTGGACAAACGGTAGGATCCAGAACGAGTTTTGACCTCCCCCCTTTACATTCATTTTTTTTTTTTTCTTTTTTTCCGCTTGGTGCATTTTGAATGCAGTTGCCGACTCCATCCTTTTTAATGATACTTGGCAGACAAGCAACACACGCAATTCCTGCCCAATAACAACAAAAACAACAACCCCCACACACGCCCCCCCCCCCCCAAAAAAAAAAAAAAAAAGAATTAACATCAAATATGCAAACATATAATACAACACGTGAAACATTGCGAACAATTGCGGCAGTTAGACGCCAAAAAGACAAAAAAAAAAAAAAAACAGTTATTTGGCGTCGGAGCGCCGCACACAAAATATACAACATAAAACAAAATATTTATATTCACGGGTGGGAGGTGAAATGAAATGAATGAAGATAAAAATAAAAATAAAAATTAAAAATAAAGGAAGAGAGAAAAAATCAAAAGACTACAGGATCCCACAGGCGAGGCAGGGTTGCACATTTGATGGCAATAAGGCCCAGCAGAGAAAAGACGTCACCACCACCCGCCAGAAGAAGATCCACTTAACAAGAAGGTGGAAGAAGAAAAAAAAAAAGAGAGGGAAAAAAAGAAAAAGAAAAGAAACAGAAGGCGTAAAATAAAATGATAATAAGATATATATTTCAGAGAATTAAGAAGAAAAAAAAAAAATATGTTAGATGCGGGGAAAATAAGTTATGAGGAGACGGAAGCTTTCAAGCCCAATTCGGACAAATATCAAGCCGTGGGGGGCCGGTCACGAAGCCTCAATACCGTTTTTTACACTCACAGAGAGATACGTCAAGATTTCCTCGGCTCTTCCACCTCGGCCATCTCACCTCCAAGCGGCTCCACGGAATCCATTCTTAAAAGGCGGCGCTCGGCGACTACCATCCGTGAGAAGCGAGAATACATAAGATGCACATATATAGTTGAGATCATGCCAGTCACGTTCAAGCCCAACATCACAAGCATTGGCATAAGGACGCAACTCTTTCCGTAGCACAAGATTTCACCGTGACGCTCCGCCTCCCGCGCATACCACTCACCGTATAGGAAACGGTTCAATATTATGGCGGCCAGCCACAAGGAGTTGAGTGCAAAGTTATAGTGCTTCGCAGGGTCTTTTGCATAGATGGTGCGCACGACAAGGATAGAGACTGAAGCACAAAAACCATTCCCCAGGGCCGCAATAGCAAATGCCAACAACAACGCATTCACAGATAATACAAGAAATAGCAGTAGTGAAAGTATAATGCACATAGTTGGTACAAAAAGAGAGATTGTAATGGGGATTCTGTCCTCGGCCTTGCGTTTCTGCGACCAGACCTCGAAGTAGCTCATCAGTAGCCGACCCGCCGCACTTCCCACCCCGTTCAGCACTGTGAGAAGTGCTCCCATGGCATCATCAACACGTTCCCCAGAAATAGCACCAAGAATGAAACGAGCATTGTATATTATCACAAACTCCGAGCCAACACCACAGAAAAAAGTCCAAAAAAAAGCCCATAATTTCAATGTGCAAATGCTTTGCATAAAAGTGGTCTGGTACTGTGGGGCAATGTAGTCAATATCCGTCTCCACTGGAGTCTTTAAGCTTCCCCCCTCCAATGAAGTGCATTTCTCCTCCTCCTTTCCCTCTGCATCGTCTCTGTTCGGCAGAGTGCCTTCCGTGCTTCTCGTCTCATCTTGCTTCTTTGGCTCCAATGCCCCCTCGTTATCCATGTGCTTCCGGTCAAGGTAACCGCATGGCACTGCCATAAGTGGAAGCATAAGAGTCATGACGGCTGCCACAATCGCAAAACTCAATTGGTACGTGCGATCAAGCTTTAGGTAGGCCACAAGAGCACTTTGCGTTGGTAGGTAAACTATAAGCACAAAGACAATCACAAGGCCATACAAAAAGCGCCAAAAAGGGGCCTTCTGACGCAGATAAACAGACTTTCGTGCCAGCCGTCGCTCTTTTTCTTCGGCGTCCAAGTGCCTCTGCTCATAGCCAGTCAAGTGGTACGACGGAAGTCGCACGACAGGAACCACCACCGAACAGACACAGAGCACAACGACAATTATAAAATAGAAGTAATAGTCCGGATGGCCATTGAAAAAGCCAAGGTAAAACGAGCCCAAGATGGCGGAGCCCAGTCCCAACAACGTCTTCAAGAACGCCACCACCCCACCACGGTTGGTCGGGAAAATACTCAGTAAAGTTAGCCCACACGCCATATCTAGAAGCTCACTGCCAAGACTTAGCATGGCATTGTAAACACAAAAACGCACCGTCGACCCCTCGATATGGTCGCCAAATGAGAGACCAAAAAGCAAGGCGCCAGTCGCAAGAAGCACACACGCCAACACGTAGATGGGGCGGGGACCAAAGTGGTCATATATGGCGCCGTAAGGAAGAAGAAAAAAGCAAAAGACCATCCCCACCGTGTTGATTGCGGAAATGTCTCTTTGCCGAAAAGAATATTTTTGCTGCAAAGCGCCACTAAATAAATTGAACGAGGCCGCAGTTGAAGCGCAGATAGCAGCAAATGTGCCAGCCACGAGAGCCCCAAAGCGCCGCCATTCAGTCAACGGCTTTTGACCCTCCACTGAGACCAGCTTCTCCACATATCCCTGTACAATATCCTCACTGTTTACGGTAGTCGGCATCCCTCCTGCCTCCTTGTTTAGTAGACAGTTTCCTCAATATTTTCTTTTATGCCTCCTTTTCCTTTCTGTCCTTGTTGCTGCACTCTTCTCACACCCGCTTCCCACTCCTCTTTTAGACTTATATTTCCCCTTCCATCACCCGCGTGGCAAATTAATGAAAGAAAAAAAAGAAATATAAAAACATTCGCCATGGTCATAATAACAAAACAAACACATAATCAACGCAAACAAAGTGTACTACCTCGTGCACGCAGGTGCATTACGCGGGTAGCTGTAAACTACTCATGTAAGTACTCAAGCGCCCATCTCTCTTGTGATGAGTGAACACGACCGACGCCGTTCTCTTTACATTCATCCTCGTGGAAAACGGCATCGTGTGCCGCAGCACCCACCCTCAAGCAGCCGTTGTCATCGAAGTATTCCGTAGTCGGTGCACTCCCCTCACAAAAACCGTCCACGTCATCCCTCACAAATAATTCACTCAGGCCCATAAATCCCCGCCTTCTTGCTGCTCCTCAAAGAGGCGACGCCGCCCATCCAACACCTGACGATTAAATTTCACGCGCTCCCAGTGCACATAGGCGTTGGATATGAAGGCCGTCACGTTGAATCCAAGCATCACAAGCAACGGGAGCTGCACACAAGCACAATCCAGACAAACATCAACACCTCGCCTTCTTGCCTCATGCGTGTACCACTCGCCGTACAGAAGGCGGTTCAGGAAGACTGTAGAGCACACTGATGCAAGGAAAATAAAATTGTAGTGCTTGGCGGGGTCCTTTGCAAAAACAGTCCGAGAAACCAACACAAGGGAGGCTGCACTGAAACCGTTGCCAAGGGCAGCCAATAAGTACGGCAGCGGCAGTGCAGCCCTGGGCACCACGAGGAATAAAACCAGCGACAGGATCACGAACACATCAGCAAAATAGACAGAAACGATAATCGAAACCCTGTCCTCGGCCTTGCGTTTCTGCGACCAGACCTCGAAGTAGCTCATCAGTAGCCGACCCGCCGCACTTCCCACCCCGTTCAGCACCGTGAGAAGCGTTTTGATGGCGTTGT